GGAAAGGGGTATAGCAATGTATCTGCACAGATGTATGCATGTCTTGATCCTCGTGCACTAATCACGCATACCGAGGCATGATGGCTGAGGAGTCCGAAATGCATAACTCAATATAGGATGAATGCACATGAAACTACAGCTAAACCTAACTCCATCATGGATAATCCGAGTGTCGGTGACTAGGGAATTGAGACACATTCCGTCACTCGGAGTACGAAATGCACCTCGTTTCCCGTGCCCGGACTAACTCCTATTCCGGACACGATGCAATATGTATGATATGCATGAAATGCAACTAAGATACAATCCTAATACTCAATTATGAAAATGAGATGCCTCGAAATGCGTGCACCGGCACGCAAACCGAGAAAAATGCGATGCAATGAAATGATATGCCTCGAAATGCGTGCACACAGGCACGCAAACCGAGAAAATGGCAGAATGCTATGAAAATGAAATGCCTCGAAGTGCGTGCACACAGGCCACGCAAACCGAGAAAATGATATGTGTCTCGAAATGCGTGCACACGGGTACGCAAACTGAGGTGATGATATGTGTCTCGAAATGCGTGCACCGGGGCACGCAAACCGAGACAATGATATGTGTCTCAAACATGCGTGCACGGCGGACACGCAAACTGAGGCAATGATATGTGTCTCAAAATGCGTGCATGCGCGGCACGCAAACCGAGGCGATGATATGTGTCTCGAAATGCGTGCACGCGGCACGCAAACCGAGGCGATAATAAATGTGATAAAATGGCTGAAAATGCAACATGGACTTATACTAACATGAGAGAGCCTCAGCACACTCACATAAGATGCCGATGGCAGAAAATGAAGTGCCTCGAAATGCGTGCACACTGGCACGCAAACCGAGGCGATGCTAAAATGAAGCGAATGACATGGAAAATGCAACATGGACTTATACTAACATGAGAGAGCTCAGCCACACCTCACATAAGATGCCGATGGCAGAAAATGAAATGCCTCGACTGCGTGCACACTGGCACGCAAACCGAGGCGATGCTAAAATGTGATGAAATATGGAAAAAATGATATGCAAGCATACTAATGGAATTTCAGCACTAAATATGGGGGAAAACACGTCCGAAATGAGCGAAATGACATGAAATGCAAGGAAATGTCCCGAAATGCAAACATTAGGCACCCGAAATGGCCTATAGCTATGCCAAACATGCACAATATGGACATGCAATGCAAAGACAGAAGCTAGACAGTCCCGAAAGATGCACTTTCACAGTTATAAACATGGCCAAACAGCAGTATAGGTAGGGGACAAATAGCATGCAAGAATGGGGCCAAAAGAGGGGTAATGAAGCAAGTGGTATAAGCAAAACTCAAACTGAAAAATTTCCTTCTACAACACTGAAGATGGACCAAAAATATGAACATTTACAGTATATGGCAGACCTCAAATCAGTATACAAATATGCCAAAAATGTGATGCAAGACAAGGCTCAAAAGGTGCTATAACATGAAGTAATATAAAATAATCACCAAACAGAAAAAAAGTGTGAATGAAACATGAAGTATAGGCAAAAATAAAGGCCACTTTTAGTTCGTACCAAGGGCCAAAAACAGAAGCAAAGGGGTCTGCCAATTTATGCAAAATGGGCCAAATAGGGGATATAACTAAAAGTGACACCATGGAAGCACCAAACAATGTTGAGCCCTTCTCTGATGTTGAAGAGGGCTCAAAATAAGCCTAATATCAGTTTTATAACATGCTCAAAAACAGAATTTCTCATGGGCCAAAAATAGCATGCAAACTATGACATACAAGAGGATCAATGAAGCAAGTATATTATGGAGAGCTCAAACAGGGTTGAGCCCTTAATGAAAAGTGAAGATGAGCTCAAAAGATGGCCTTTTCAGTTAGGGCCGGAACTTGAAACCAAAAGGAAGTGAGGCTTAGAAATAGATTCAAGAAAAAGGGTCAAAAGGGTAAAAAGTGTTACTTACCCTTGAAGATTCAACTTTTGTTGCTTCTTGGATGGATTTGCAGCTTCTTTAGCCTTCAAGAATCCTTCCTTGTTGCTGGAAATCGAGATGGTGGTGGTAGAGCTTGGTGGTGTAGAAGGAATAATGGTTATGGACTTAGGGTTTTTTCAAGAGTTGAGAAGGAAGAAGATGGAGTTGGCTATGGAAGCTTGAAGGAGAGTTTTTTCTAACCCTTGTAAGTGGAGGCACCAGCTGGTTATAAGGGTTCAAAAAGGGGTGTAAAGGTGGGGGAAAAGGAGAGCAAAACTCCCCCACAAAATTCCCCCGGATACAGAAAATATTGGGGGATATTGCCCCACAGCTGTAAAGTGCCACAGTGCGAGGAACACGGCCGGCCTCTCACTTTTGCTGGAGGTGGCCGGCCGGCCACACCCCTAGCCGGCCGGGCTAGGGTCAAAAGGGTCAATGCGATTTTTCTGGCCGGCCAGCTACTGGAGGGTACCCTTTATGTGTGTATAACACAACCATGTGGTTAAAAAATCCGAGAAAAGTGGGTCCAAAGGGGTTCAAAATTGGCTCGAAATAGGGGGTCAAAGGAGTCAAGTTGAATTACTGAGCCGGCCATGAACTTTTAGTGCCCTCCCAGGTGTGGTACATCACAGATATTGTGGTTCAAAGTTCAAGAAAAGGGGTCCAAGGGGTTCAACATTAGCCCGGAAAAGAAGGGAGTCAAAAGGGTCGAGGTGAACCTTAATGGCCGGCCACCAACTTTATAGGGGCCTCCCAGGTGTGTAGATCACAGATATGTGGTTGAAAGTTGACAACACTAACCCTAGGGTGTTTAACATTAGCCCGGAAGTTGGGAAAACGGGCGCCGGGAGGCTCCGGAGGAGAGATAACTGGTTGCTGCAACAATTGCTGGCCTCCCACCCTTCAGTGACCTTCCTTGTGATAAAACAGAGGTACCTGCCAAAAATGAACGAAAACCGTTGCAAAACGAACGTTCCGGGGCCAAAACACGCAGTTCGGGGTCCCGAAAATGGGCTGTTAAGCACCGAAAATGGTATTCGACCTCGAAGTGGGTTTCTCAGCCCCCAGTGTCCCTCAAAAGGGAGAAAATAAGATGTATGCCGAAAATCAGAGCAAACGGAGATGGTTAGGCGGTCCCGAACCGAGGCACACGGCCTAACGGCTCCGAAAACCGGGAACCGGACTCCGAAATAGGCAAAATGGCCTACGGCCACCCAATGTAGCCTATGGACATTGAGAGATGGTCTATGGGACCTCTCCCTTCCCTCAGGAAAAGAAACAGAGAAAACCGAGTCTGGTTCGCAAACCGAGACAAGGCACATAAAAGGGTTCGGAAGTCTGGTGGCGGGGCTCGCAGCCGCAACTCTGAAACTTCTGAACGAGCAAATTATGCAACATCACCTAGCGCTCAATCGGTGACGTCTGAGTCTTAAGGTCGGTCAAAAATGGGGTGTCTACAGTTGCCCCTCTTTGACAGAACTCGGAAGTCACAAGTGACGGGAGTGAATTGTCAAAGCCCAGAGACGACCCTTTTTTGACAAGGCCGAAGACTTAGACAAACATACTGGATAAACAGAGATGCGCCCGCAGGCATGCCCGCAGGCAGGGGGGGCAAAATGCAAATGATATGCAAGAAGTCGAAGGTAACCCAATGATCGTGCAAATGCAGCAATGATACGCAAAAAGCCAGAGGTAACCCAATGATCATGCAAATGCAGCAAGCTGTAATGAAGCAAGTATTCGCAAATAGATGCAACAGTTTTAAGCAAGAATGCAAAGCAACAACTACATTTCATGCAGTTAAGAATGCGGAGGATTATTCAATCCCCGCCACGTCTCACACGGAGAAGATACAATACCTGCGCGATTCGTCTGGTCGCACCAGCTTCAATTGAACCGTACATACAATATCGTGCCTGCAAAAGAGAGAAATTGCAACAAACACAATATGCTAACAATATGCATTCAATGTGACTTTGAAAATTTCGACACATGCAGTGCCGGTGAGTGAATGCATCGCAATGCAAGAATGGAACATGCGTGACAACGCATGCTCAAACACGGAAGTATAATTAACATCAAGAAACGTGTATGTTAATGCAGGTATGTTCATGAAAATGGAAGATAATGTAACACGAGCAGGAATCAGGGCGCTTGTTTGTCATGAAACAACGAGTATGGAAATGCGCGTTTCGGCGATGACGACTCGACCACGGCCTCCGATCTGCTTCCTTGAAAGGTTACAACTCATTCAAAAAGGATACACTTTGATTTTGATGAGTGATGATGAGACACAAGTCAGAACTTGAAGCTGAAGTCCCGGCGGAGCAGTTTCGCAACCGGAAGTGTACTTTTCTTAAACTTTTTCAGGTCCCGGGAACTCCAATCTTCCTCAAAAATTTGCAGGGAGCTAGGTGAGCATGTGAGGATGATGGCCTAGGTGAGCATGTGGGGATGATGGCCGGCCGTTTATCTTCCCAAGGGGAGGTGGCCAACCGGTTTCCACAAAAGCTAATGGCTGGTCGGCCATTTCTGCAAAAAGCAGATGGCTGGCCAGCTAGAAATAGAGGCCGGCCGGCCATGCCCTTTTTCCGGGGGCATTTCGGTCTTTTTCCCCCCTTTTTGATGCTCTTGCAATCCAAGGCCTTGAGGCTTATAAAAGGCAGCCGAGCCCCCCTTCATTTCTTGCCTCTTTCAACACTTTATTCTCCAGATTTGAGTTTTACGCGCGTTTTTCAACGCAACCCTCTTCGTTTCTTGCCTCTTTGAACACTTTTCTCTCTAGATCTGAGTTTCACGCGCATTTTCCAATGCCCCGCGCAAATTGTTTCCGTAAAAACACTCAGTTTTAAGCATTTTGGAGCGATTAAATTCCGACTTCGAAGCTTCTTTTTGCATTTTTACCACTTGAGGTAAATTTGTCTCAATATTTGGAATATTTTCTCGGGGGTTGACTTTTGTTGACTTTTCATTTCCCGAGAGTTGACTTTTTGTTGACTTTTTCCAATTTTGGCCCATTTTGCTCATTTTTGCTCCCTTTTCGCAGATTCTTGAAAATGGCGGGCAATTCTCCTCATGGCGGAGGTTTTCCGGGTGCCGGAGATGATTTCGATCCCATGACTCTACCTCCGAGGACCCGACCTTTCATTCCCGGGAGGTACCGTCCGCCAGCTCACGTCCTCCCGCGTGTCGTCTTCCGTCATTTTACCAGCTTTGACGAGCGAGCACCCGTGGATCTGCTTCTCAGAGAGCCGGAGCAGCATCTCTCTCACGAGGCCCGAGAGGTATTTACCTTATCTTCTGTATTTTACATTTCGCACCCTTGCCATGCTTGTACATCCAGTTTAGCTTATGACATAGTACTTTGCTTGTATCCCGAACATGTAGTTTAAACATTTGAATTTCTGAACACTCGGCTCATTAATTAAATGCGAACTCACAGCCCACATTAGAACACACGGTTCAAACACTGATTTGTCGAACATACAGCCTGAATTCGAAAGTGAAAACACAGCCCACACTTTAAATTTTCTGAACACGCAGCCCACGCGATTCGTCTGGTCGCACCAGCCTCAATTGAACCGTACATACAATATCGTGCCTGCAAAAGAGAGAAATTGCAACAAGTACAATATGCTACCAACATATATTCAATGTGATTTCGAAGGTTCGACACACGCAGTGCCGGCAAGTGTATGCATCGCAATGCAAGAGTGGAACATGCGTGACAACGTATGCTCAAACATGGAGGTATGCCAATATCAAGAAATGTGCATGTTAATGCAGGTATGCTCATGAGAATGCAAGTTATGTGCATGATAGCGCAAAACGAGCATAAATCAGGGTGTTCATTTGCATGAAACAACGAGTACGGAAACGCGTGTTTCGGCGAAGGTAACTCGATCACGGCCTCCGATCCGCTTTTCTGAAAGGTTACAACTCATTCAAAAAGGATACACTTTGATTTCGATGAATGATGATAAGACATATGTCAAATCTTGAAGCCGAAGTCCCGACAGAGCTATTTCGCGACCGGAAGTGTACTTTTCTTGAACTTTTTCAGGTCCCGGGAACTCCGATCTTCCTCAAAATTTGCAGAGAGCTAGGTGAGCATGTAGGGAGCATGGCCGGCCGTGTGTCCTCCCAAGGGGAGGTGTCCAACCGGTTTCCACAAAAGTAGATGGCTGGCCGGCCATTTCTGCAAAAAGCAGATGGCTGGCCAGCTAGAAAAAGGGGCTGGCCGGCCATTACCTTTTTCCAGGGGCATTTTGGTCTTTTTCCCTCCTTTTTGCATGCCTCTTCACCCAAGGCTTGGGGCCTATAAATGGCAGCCGAACCTCACTTCATTTCTTGCCTCTTTCAAAGCTTTTCTCTCCAGTTTTGAGTTTCACGCGCGTTTTCCAACGCCCCGCGCAAATTGTTTTCGCAAAACCTCTCAGTTTTAAACACTTTGGAACGATTAAATTCTGACTTCGGAGCTTCTTTTTGCATTTTCACCACTTGAGGTAAGTTTGTCTTAATATTTGGAACATTTTCCCGGGAGTTGACTTTTGTTGACTTTTTATTTCCCGAGAGTTGACTTTTGTTGACTTTTTCAAATTTTTGCTCATTTGGCTCATCTTTGCTCCCCTTTTGTAGATTCTTGAAAATGGCGGGCAATTCTTCTCACGGTGGAGGTTTTTCAGGTGCCGGGGATGATTTCGATCCCATGACTCTACCTCTGAGGACCCGACCTTTCATGCCCGAGAGGTACCGTCCGGCAGTACACGTCCTCCCTCGTGCCATTTTCCGTCATTTTACCAGTTTTGACGAGAGAGCACCCGTGGATCTTCTTCTCAGAGAGCCGGAGCAGCATCTCTCTCACGATGCCCGAGAGGTATTTACCTCATCTTCTGTATTTTACATTTCGCACCTTTGCCATGCTTGAACATGCTGTTTAGCTTATGACATAGTACTTTGCTTACATCTTGAACATGTAGTTTCAACACTTGAACTTCTGAGCACTTGGCTCACCAATTAATTGCGAACACACAGCCCACATTAGAACACACGGTTCAAACACTGATTTGTCAAACACACAGCCCGAATTCGAAAGTGAACACACAACCCACACTAGTTGAATTTTCTGAACAAGCAGCCCAGATTTAGATAGTGAACACGCAGCCCAAAATTCAAATTTTCTGAACACGCAGCCCAGGTAGATAGTGAACACGCAGCCCACCAATTAACTGAAAGTTGAGCACGCAGCCCAAATTTCAAATTTTCTGAACACGCAGCCCAGGTAGATAGTGAACACGCAGCCCACAAATTAACTGAAAGTTGAACACGCAGCCCAAATTTCAAATTTTCTGAACACACAGCCCAGGTAGATAGTGAACACGCAGCCCATAATTTTAACTGAAAGTTGAACACGCAGCCCAAATTTCAAATTTTCTGAACACGCAGCCCAGGTTAGAATTTGCATGTAGTTTATTTCACTTCATTGGCATACAGCCCATTTCATTCCATTGGCACACAGCCCATTTCATCTCATTGGCGCATAGCCCATTTCATTTCATTATTAACACATGTATTCATTCTGAATGCAGGTTTGCTCCCGCAGTGTGCGGGGGTATGGTTCCACGATCGCGCGGGATTGGTATGCCGAGCTGCCGGAGGCCGTCCGAGACTTAGTGGACTTGGCAGGATTTGGACCCTTCTGCGTCGGGTTGTCACGTTGTCCTGCCAGGAGGACACTGATGGCGGCCCTGGTAGAGAGATGGTGGGACACCACCAATTCCTTTCATTTCTCTGCTACCGGGGACATGACCATGACCCCTTTTGACTTTGCTGTATTGACCGGCCTTGACGTTGGAGGTTGGTCCATCCCCTACGATGAGGACATGGGCGAGTGGGAGGCCGCCTGGATGTATTTATTGGGGGCTCACCCACCTGTTGACAGGGTCTCTGGGAGAGTCCGATACACTTGGTTCTCTTCCCAATGTCTCTATAAGGATGTTCATA